CCGTACTTGTCCTTTCTGGGGACCGTGCTCTTATCTCACAAGGTTGGAGTTTTGCCCACAAATCGACAACCTTGGGAGACTTTCGCTTCCTACACTGCGGCGTTAAAACAGCAGTTAACAAAACATCAAGTCAAAACAAGTTATATCATGTAAAGCTTACAGCTTATCGGCTCTGTGCTGATATTGGCCGACCGGCTCAACAAGTTGTACGTGTGAGTGCTGATAAGCTATGGCATGTAAGACATCAAGAAGGCGAGGGCATGCGGGGTCTCGGTAATGTAAGAGATAGAGCACGGTCCCCAGAAACGACAAGTACAGGTTCGAGTCCCGTCCGAGACTGGAGTTTTGCCCACATATCGCCAACCTTGTGAGAATTGTTGTAATCTTTTGGAAATAGTAGATAGGCTGAGGGGTAGCCTTGTGGACTTGGCGGAAAAAAATGGGTACTGTTGATTTTTGTCTCGTACGTCATTTGTTTTTGCATCACTGTATGTTTTTCAGCATCTCATGATCGTGAACGAAACCGTGGAAGAGCAGTATAGCCAGGACAACTGTAGAAAAGACTTTGGGATCTGGGTATAAAGCGCCTAAATGTGATAAAGTATCAAAATGTGCCGTACTAGTTTGGTCCGGTAGTTGACTGGTACTCTGTTTCTAACTGCACTTCCCGACACAGGCTTTCCTAACTCTTTATCCATTTTTCTCTGTTTGCCAAAGAAAAAAGTCAAAGCTGGCAATACCATCGGTAATGACCTATATTGGTCTCTTTCAATGCAGTTATCCAAGTATAGGCTTCTCGCTTTCAGAACGGGAATGTCCTTGACAGTTCCGCTTTGGTAGCATCTGCTAAGTGCGGAAGTTTGCAATGGATAGCAGTCTTGCACAGTGCACCTGCTTCCTTTCACAGTGGTCCTGAAGAAGATGATGTTGCGGGCGCTGAGATTGAGGGTTTTGGTTAATCCTTTTATGAGCGCCTCGCGGTGGTTTAGTAGAAAAATGAAGGTAATGCGATGTAGACGAAGAGCGAATCGAAGAATATTTTTTAAGAGTACACGTAATGGAGATTATCCACGGAGGGTGGGCTTCTCGCCCAGGCGATCATTTCCTCACGACCTCACATCTGGAGGGGGGGGGGCGGACCACCTTGGCACTTGGGCGAGAAGCTCACCCTCCGTGGATAATCTACATTTTTTTCGCTTATGAGGCTGTTGTGTTGACCTGCCTTGGTGTCAAAGCAGCAAGTTAAGATCGAGACACAACTGCTGCACTTCACCTCGCAGGCGTCTTCATGCCCTTGTTTCAGACAATTCAGACAAAGCTCCAATTTTGCAGCTCGGGCTGTACGTGACACGGGATCGAGATATATGCCACACTTGCTGGTTAGTGAGAATCCCAATTCTCATCCAGTGTGCAAAAACTGCGTGTTGACGTGGGAGTGACGCGCTCCAAGATCGTCTGACATGCAGTTTCTAAGGCTCCCAGTCTTGACAGCGCTGCATCGATTTCTAGGAGTCGTGGTAGGATGTTGTGCAGCAGTGTCGCCATGACGCAGCGATCGAGATCGGTGATGGCTTCTTGCATATCAGAGGCGAACGACATGTTGATGATGCCTTGCTCGACTCCATTAAATACGCGATTTTTCTGCCTGCATTCATGACACGCCTCTAAAAATTCACTTTAGGGGAACATAAAAATAAATGTCCCTTTTTGAGTCACTTTATGGTTACTTTCTCTCTCCAAGAGTGCTTCTGCAGACCGTCTGTTGGAGAGCCCTCGAAATATGGCGGCGTTTATGCCGTTGACAATGAACGTGTTTACAGTATTTCTACTTTAAAACACTTACTTTCTTATTGATACTCAAAGTAACTCCAGATACTGAGTACGGGAGATTTGGTCTGCTTTTTTTGCAGAAAAGTTGCTCCGGGTACTTGACGGGAGACTTGTGAATCAGTTATTGAAGGTCTTAGATACGACCTCATATGATTGCGCTCAAAGAGCTAGTCTCGACTCCGGGCCTCAAAGTTGCGACGCTTTGACACTGGTGTATAGAGGCTACTTTAGGCCGATGCACAAAGCTGTGGCGGGCGCTGAAATTGAGGGTTTTGGTTAACCCTTTTATGAACACCTCGCGGTGGTTCAGTGGAATTATGAAGGTAATACGATGTAGACGAAGAGCGAATCGAAGAATATTTATTAAGAATACTCGTAACGGACAGCAGTTCTCTACGGAGGGTGAGCTTCTCGCCCACGTGCCAGGGTAGTCCACCCCCACCAGATGTAAGTCGTGAGGGAATCATCGCCTGCGATGCTCAGGCGATGATAGATGGGGGTCGGGTGGGTGGGGTTCAACTAGTTGAAGAAACAAAAAGCTGGACTGAAGGTCTTCTCACGAGGACATCTTATATAGCATTGTCCTCGTGACCTCGTGGTTATCGCCGGTACCTGAGTACATGACGAAATATCGTCGTCCTCAGGAAATATTGTATCGTGGCAATATCTGCGATGACGGAATGCCATCTTCATATCGAAAAACAGCACTTCCATGCAGCCTTTTCCTCAATAAATTCTTCGAGTTTTCCACTTTTTTAGTGAAACCTTATATTGCTTTGAATACGCCGATTTCCGCGTTTTCTTCGCCCTTTTTTTGCGCAGATCTAGACTATCCACTCTTTTAAACTACATAACCCAAAATTACCGTGGTCCGTGCAGCTAAACACCATTATCTCACCCTGCCTCGGGAATGAAATAGTTCAAACAGACGCTCTGTGCTAGACTTTGTCGTGCTCATCGACACCGACGTGCTGTTTTGCATCATTTTTTGGCGTGTTCCCAATGAAATCGCATGGAATTATAGTGGACTGTGCTTTAAGCTGAATCCCAGATAGGGTAAAACACATTATTCTATCCTCCGGTGAGGGGTCCAAAGACAAAGGGAACAAAAATTTCCTAGTTGTCCCTCCAACTCAAACTGTTGAAAATTTGTCTAATATGAGCGGCATCTTCAAAATTTTGCCAAACTAAAGCTGCATATTGCAGTATAACTGACTATAGACTGCAGGAGGCTTTACTTCTCCCTCTCTTTGTCAGTTAATGCCTTCATCACCCGTAGTGATATTCACGTCTCTCAACTGAGCAGATACCTTCATAGGTCTCTATCCAGTCACACTACTATTTCACCACCAAAATTACGGGATATTTCTTGATTGCGACTTTCAGGGAGTGGTCGTGTTGGAGATGCCTGCCAGTACAACACAGACTGCTTGGGGGTGAGTTTTTTTTCTAGTAAGCTGAGGTCCCTTCACTGAAGAAGGAAGAAGCGGAGCTATACAAGTGATTGCTTTTGACTTTCAGGGAATGTACTGCTCTGGAGGAGTCTGCACGTGTCTCAGTACCTACATCATGCGAGAGAATTACTGCTATGAAAGTAAGTATCCTTAACATCAAGTACAGATTCGTCTACACGCAGGGTATTCATCCAAGATGACGACACGGTGGCTGACGCCGTATTCCGACCTCAGCCGGGATACTGTTTCGTTGAAATTGACTGTTATCTTCTTTTCGCATACTGACTTGTGTAACACTGTCTAGACTTCTTCTCAAGTGTCTCCAGTTGTTGGAAAGAAAAAATTACGAAGTTTAATTGTATTGTCTTAGAGAAGGGCAGTGCTCCATAGCTGGCTGTTCACGATGCTCACTTGGCATTATGTATTGGTTATCTGTTCAGAGGTGAATCCCAATCAACCGGGTTGTACCTATGACATACAGTGTGAAGCGGTGTGGCCAGGAGCCAAATGTCGGATGGACAGCAGCATCGGCACCTGTCGTTGCCCAGGTATGTTGTCGAAGGTATAGAATGCCTATTACAAAGGTATGTAAAATGCCTTGTTCTAGAGGAGACGCATATTGCCCGTGAGACCCGAGACGGTTGGGTATGCATTTCATTAAGAGACCGCAGCTCGGGAGCCGTCTCACCGCTTTATTTTGTCTGCCCACTTCCCGAAGGCGCTGGATTCAAGATAGGTACGCAAAGTAGTCATTGAATCATTCCGACGAGTACATGCCCATTTCTTCACTTGCAGCATTGAACGACCCCAATCCGGCAGCAGGCTCACTTCCTGTTGGTTGCTCCGTAGGATCGTCAGCTTCTGTTGAACCCGTCGTCGGACTCCATGGTGGTGGAGCGTGCATTTGGCCGTCGACTGGAGAGTTCATTGGGGACGTCTACGACTGCATTCACACTAGTCCTCATGTTCGATTTCCAGTTATTCTGAAGAATGATTGACAGGGCGACAGATGATTGCTAGACATTAGCAGATCTAGAAGAGCGTGTTTACTGTTTTCATGAATCATACATATTTCTTTATGGGTGGAGAGTGAATAGCCCAATTCTTCCCATAATAGAGCACCTGCAGGGAACGATGAGATAAAAAAAGGGTTTGGGCTGGAATTACATGCCAAAATTATATTTAACTATGTACCCACCTACGGCATTCCGTTCTAAATATAATTGTCTAAAATTGTTGCGCACCGAATGAAGCGCCACAGCAGCCGCCTTACCGGCTACAGCTTTTACATTGATTGCCGAGTTATATTTGCATTGAGTACTGCCTTGCTCTCCGCAGGTCTCAACCCCTGACAGTAGTCATGACCCTGCAAGGCCTCGATCTTCGGCCTAGTACGTAGCCAGCGCGAAGCTCGGATACTGCCACTTATTTTGACTTGAAGATTTGTTAACTGCTGCATTGAGAAGGCAAGGGCAAGCGGGGTTTAGGTAGTGTCAGGGTAGAGCGTGGTGCCCGGACACACAAGCACGGCTTCAAGTTCGGTCGGAGGCTGAGATTGCCCACAAATCGTCAATCTTGTGCGACTGCCACTTGTGCTCATTTGCATAGAAGAGTAAGGCGACCTCGAGGGCCGAATTTTTCAATTCATACGTGAAATCACGGTTCCAACGGTAATCTACTACTGTCTGGTTGATTTGGCACGCTAAATTCCCGCGATTTGGTAATGATCTCATCACAATTATGCGCCTATGTCCTACGATGACACTGCTGATATATGGCAGCAAGTATGTGATTGGTGGCTGGATATTTAATGTAATGGAACTAAGTTGATTGGAGAGCTGCAGTAATTAGAACAGGTGCTGCAACCTACCTATGCATGTGGAAATAAGTATAGTCGCAGTCGGGTGGTCATGGGATTACTCCGGTATCAGTCTACCCTTTCTTTTGCGGTGCTTTGAAATTTCATGAAAGAATCTGCAATTTCAAAGGTAGTTATTGCAATTTCGGATGCAGTGGCTCCTTTCACTTGTCCTAACTTCTGCATTCAAGAAATTTTTCGACATTCAGATCACGCTAGCTGAGCAATTTCCCCTGTCACAATACGCTCCCACGGCAAACGGTGTCTGCTGTCCCAGCCGAGGTCTGCACGGTCTGCAGAAAACTTGAAATTTGTGGAAAATATGTATTTTTTCAGCTCTTGCTTGTATACAACCTCAGGTCACTGGACCCAATCCTACGGAACCGCGATGGTGGTACAATTCTGTTACAGGTACTGCTTCGAACTTAAGTGTTCCAGTAAGTCCCAATCATTGAACTGTTTTCAAGGTACCTGCCAACAGTTCATGTGGGATCCACACGCTTCGGAAGCGCAGTATCACTCGGCGAACAACTTCAGGACTATTCAGCACTGCGAGTCGTACTGCAGAGATAGTGAGTGAGCGGTTGACGCTATTCCTTTTAGTCGAGAATGGCCGGCAGTTTCAGCTTGTTCGAGAGGCTCTCCACAGTATTCTGGCGAAGCAGCAGTGAATGTGGAGCGACCTGTGACTTCTTGTGCTTCTGCAACAAGTTGCGGCAATGACTTTCAGTGTACCTCTGTTGGCAGTCAGCACCTCTGCTGCCCTACTCCAGGCACGTGTAACTCTTTCCATTCGACAATCTAACAATAAGATGATAGCAGGTTTGCAAGATATCACTGCTTTAGCTTCTGTCTGTTCGTCACGAGGAGGACGCCCACATGACATCACTGTACGATCCAGTATTTTTCACGCAGGGTTCCTTGTCACAACTGGACGCGAAACCATCAGGTCACACAAGTGTTTTCTTCATGATACACCGGAAAATGTTATTTTTCAACCCTGACAGAAATGCTTATCGGAGCTTCACTGAACTGGCCCACTCAGCTAGAATTTGTGCGTTATGCGCACGTCAAAAAGCCTATTTCACTGAACAGTTGACTATCCCGAAAAAGCAGGGGAACTTTGAAGGCCGCATGGTGCGGGTATGGGTCAAGAGGATCCCTTGCAGAAGAGTACGTCTCCGGGCGCAAGGGTCATTTTGCACTGCGTCCTTTTCGAGGCCCTAGTGGTTTGCCAGTTATCATTGAAGCTATGCTTCCAATGGAGAATCGCTTACCATTTTTCAAGCATCAAATTATTCAAAATCACTTCAAAAGGAGATAATGAGGAAAGTCACAATATTCGCCAAAGGGGGTTGCGAAGAAAGGTGCCAGTCGAAGAGAAGTGTTGCTTCACCCACCTTTATTGAAAGACGTTGTCTCAAAGGCATCCTGTAAAGGCTAAATCAAAAAATTAGATTAAGTACACAATTTTGATACGGCATCGCGAGAGTCGTTCTTGTCCCAAACCCGACCCCACTCCAGCTGAGTGAATAGTCGTTTTCTAAGAAATTTCTGTAAACAATTTTACCTAAAACGGGATCAGGCTCTACTTCTCGGTCAACTCTGCTTCTTCCATGAGTTGTTTTTCTTAACAGTGGCTTTATTTGAACACATACGTACCTCTTGGCTCTGGCGTCGGCTGGGGCTTTGCGCTCAACCGCAGTTCATCGTAAATCAGAAAACTTCCTTACCTCTCACCATGAGGCAGAAAACTTCCTTACCTCACACCATAGGATAATTTTTTCAAACAACTTACTCTTTTCCTCTAAGTTATGGACCCATTCATCACCATGAACTCCCGTTTTTTGCGATTGAAAACACAGGAAGGATAAACTGTGAAGTAGCAACGGACAATGACCATCTAACGACACGTTCACTGCCGGCATGCTGTAAGTAGTTCATTCCATGAAGGATTCGGATTAACCCCCCAGTGAGAAAAGCATGCTATAAAGAAGACTAGGGAAGTCTTTTGTAATTTTCTGGCGTCAATCAGTCACTTCTTGCGATGTGGGCCGGCATCGGCTTCCATCAGAACTATAGCGGCGTTTTGAATGCGTGTTAGGACTATACGTGAGAACAGTGACCTGTGATCATTAGCCGGTGCGCAAGTCAGTACCTTTATGCATCAAGGTAAGTCCGACATAAATAAACCGACCCTAGGAGATCTGCTTTGACTGGCTCAGCATCGATCCCTGAACGATGCGCTTGATAGAATGCCCACCTGTAACCACACCACTTACACCATTCAAAAAGCAACAGAAAAGTACGCGGAAATAAGAGAAATTACAAAAGTTGGTAGTTGGTGGGAGTGGACCCGTGAAGCTGCAAGTGTATGCTGATGGCGTTGATTCAAATCATTGTCAATTTTAAATAGTTAAAATTTAGTAGTCGGCTATTCAGGTATGCATTAATCATTAATGGTAATTTAAATGGAAGCCAAATTTTTGTAGATAAATCTCAATAGTTAGCCATAAGTATATGTTTATAGAGTAAGTTCGATTGTTTAGGTTCTACTACGACACCACGACAGGACGCTGCCAAGATTTCGTCTACCACGGTGCAGGCGGAAATTTCAACAACTTTCTCTCACGACATGAATGCGAATTGTACTGTGCTAGATGTGAGTCCCAGCCTTACAAAAAAAAAACGAATCCAAAAAAAAGAGGAAGAATGTAGCTTTTCAAAGCTCTTATATATGATGGCACGGAACTTACTGGTCTATCAGTTAATAATATTTTTTTTCTCTTGACCATTTCATCGTTAATAAGAAGCGATTTCGCAGTACAGTGCACAGATACCATTATGGCTTACATGAGAAATCCAAACGCTTTGAAAGCATCTGCCTTCATTTTTCATTTATAGGAAACTTTTTGAAGAGTGGAAGGTTCCGGAGGTGGATGTAGTCAGAATGGTAATTTCACTGTCGGATCTGCTTTTAGCAGTGTTTTGCAAACTTTTGACCGTTTCCCTCTTGTTCCTACAGCTCTCCACTAATCAGTGTAGCTTTGGCACTGGCTGCAGCACCGTGAAGGCAATACATGCCGCTCGTCTTTTTTTAAAAAAAAATAGTAAGAAACGGAAAGCAGTGCACCTCGCATTTCTAGACCTAGAAAAGAACTTTCAATAACTTTCTCTATGTTGTTATATGGTATGCATTGCGACAGCATTGGGTTTCTGAAGAGCTTATTAAGTGGGTGGACATACTCCACTTAAATCCAACGAACAGAGTACAGACAACAGATACATCTTCAGAACTTCCCATGTCCTTTGCGGTATACCACTGTGCATCTCCCTCACCAATATCCTTCGTTGAAGGTCGGAAAGACTGAGAGCATGACTTCGAGTCAAATGAGCATTGAGTTGACAGTAGTGAGCTTCCTCGTACCTTTTTAAGCCTCTTGGGTCAGCAAATAGTTACGTGGTATACCAGGAGTGCGGACGCATCCAAGTGGGACATAAGCTGAGGAATGAGAAGAAGAAGGTTGGAAGGAGCGGCTGGCTCCGAGGTGGTATCATCAAGAACATCATATGCACCTTCAAATCAGAATTGATGAAATTACCGAACCAGCATTTAAGGGTGAAGATTACACGGTAGGAAAGACATACAGTAGCGCTCAAAAGTCTTCGGTGAAAAGCTTCGACGCTTTTTCGTTCATAACTTTTTTCTTAGTAGACCAATTCGTGCGAAATTTGGATATGTTTAACTGGAGCATATTCCCCCCTACCCAACACAATTTGACTGCAAATCTGTAATATCCACAGTTAGAGCAAGGTGACTGTTGCGGTAGCAGATT